CCCCCCACCCCCACCCACCACCTCCACCTCCACTACACACACGCACTACGCACTCCACTCCACTCCCACAAACTCATACCCCCTACACACTGTCGGGAGGGGCTATGGACACTGACGCGGTCCGCAATGCGTGCGCTGTCCTGGCCCGTGTAGGCGCCTTTGTGGACGACGGTTCTGGGGGCGCCTCGGCTCGCGACGACGTCACCGATGCTCTTGCCTGCTTGCGCGAGGCGGTGGTGGTAGGCTCTGGGGCCAATGGTGCAGCTGGACCACTGCCTGCGCCAAAGGACGTGGCAGTCGTGCTAGGCGCCCTCCTTCAAACCCTCCGCTCAGAGACCTCGTCCGTCCGTCGTCTCGCGCAGGAGACCCTTGCCATCGCCATCAAGGCCCACGCGCCGCGCCTCCTCACCACCATTCATATCGAGCTGATCAAGGTGCTGCGGCTTCCGCTTGCGCCAGCCGGCGAGCAGGCCGAGCCCATCGCCCGCTCGCAAAAGGAGGCGCTGGCTCTCCTTGCCGCTACCGCCCATCTCGTTCGCCCGAGCAAAGTGCCGTTTGTGCTCAGCGCCCTCGTCCCGGCCCTCCTCTCGCTCCTCGCCGGCCCGCTCCCGATCCTACTCGCCGAGTCGCTCGGCAGCGCCTTTGAGCTCCTCGCTGCAGCTCTAGCTTTCCACATCGACACCGACTCGCTCGTGGCCCTCCTCTCCAACCTTGTCGTCGCCCTGCCGTCCGCCGAGCCCAACGTCCGCCGCTCCATGGCCACCGCTGCCCTCGCACTTGTCATCCACGCACGCAAGCGCCCAGTCCCCATTGTGTTTTCGCTGCTTTGGGAGCTCTGCGTCGAACCCGAGGCCGTGGCCGCCGGCCGCCTCGCCGCTGCCGCCGCCGCCACCGGCTGGGCCTCGCTCCCGCCGCTCGACGGCGCTGCCAACATGCCGTCCGATGCCGCCTGGGGCGTCCTCACCCTCACTGCTGCTCTGTGCAAGACTCTGCGTCTCGAATGCCTCGACGACCACGTCGATGCCGTCCTCGGCTTCGCCTACTCGGCCCTCCTCCACCCCTCCGACAACGTCCGCGCCGCTGCCCTCGAGACGTTCCAGGCCGTCTTTGAGGCCTACGGTCCGGCTTCGACTACGCTTGGAAGCGTTCTCCTTGAGCTCGCCGCTGACCTGCTCCCGCGCTTCGAGTCGTTCGTGTGGGGCACCGATGCCGCCACAGGCCGGACTCATCGGGTCTCACTCCGTGGCCTTGGCCTCGCCAATCTTGCTCACGCTGCGCGCTACTTTCCCTACTACTTTGCCGCCACAGATCGCGCCCTCGTCGCTCGCCTCACCCCGCTCCTTGACACGGACGACCCGCTTCTTGTTTCATCCGCCGCTGAGGTGCTTGGAGCCCTGCTCGGTGCGCTGCTCTCTCCCTTTCCGCTCACTGCCAAATCGCTCGTCGCCGCCCCATCTGATCTCGTCGCTGCTGCCCGCACCCTCGTCTACGACAGCATCGAGTCTGTGTTCCTCGCTAGAATCCGCGCCCGCCCGCTCGCGCCGGCCTCGGTCCGCCCGCTCCTTGACGCCGCCGTCGAGTTCCTCCCGCGTGCACTCCACATCCTCGCCGCCCCTGGCCTTGTCGTCGACTTGATTGCTGCTCTTGTCGAGCTCGCCTCGCTGCTGGCCGGTTCGTGGCAAGTCCGCGTCGCGCTCCTCCGCGTCTTTGCTGCCCTCGACTACGACGCGCTTGCGCTGCTGGGCGCCGACGCCAACGCCTGGCCGCCTGTCGACCTTCACGCCGCTGTCCTGGACATCCTGGTTGCCTCGCTGCACTCGCCGGACACCCGCATCGCCGCTGCCGCCGCCCAGCTCGCCGAAGAGCTGGGGCCCAAGCTCCTGCCGCGCCGGAGCGTGGCCCGCTCGCCGCTCCCGCGTCTTGTCGCCCGCCACACCGCATGCCTTCCAGCGCCGGTCTCGGGTGCAACCGCTCCGGTCGAAAACCCGCGCCCGGGCATTTCCCATGTCGTTGCTGCCCTCGTCCAGGTTCTCCACCAAATCCCGGCCTCGTCGCCGGCCTACATGCCAACGCTCTCCTCGGTCTTTGCCTCGCTCGCCAACCTCTCCGGCTCGGGTCTTCCGCGGGTGGTCCCGAACCCACTCTCGCACCGCCGCCTCGCCGAATCGCCGTCATCGCAGCTCTTCCGCGCCCTGGGTTCGTTTGGTCCCCAGCTCCTGCCCTACATCCTTGACGTTGTCTCGTCAACCGCTGTCTGCGGCGACGTCAGCGCCCACGCCGCTGCCCTCCAGGTCGCTGCCGGTCTCGCCCACGCTTCGCCGGACGCCTTTGGCTCGTTTGCGCTCCCCATGCTCTCGCACCTGCTCAAAGTCCTCAACGTCGTCGCCCATGTCCAGCAAGGCCTGCCCGTTGCCCGCGAGCTCGACTACGAGGCGCTCTCCGAGGCTGACAACCTCTTCCTCGCCTCCGCCACCGAGCCGAGTGCCCGAGGCGCTTCTTCCAGCTCAGACTCGGCCAAGTCTGCATCCACAGCCACCACCGATTGGTCCAACTTTGCGCGATCGCCCCACTATCTCATTCTCTACGACGCTCTAGCTGAGGCCCACGCCTCGCGCGCCGCCACTCTTCCGGTCCCGCAAACGCCGCTGCCAGACGTCTCCGCCGGGCGCCCCGACATCGGGCCCGCCTTTGGCCGCTCTGCCACTGCCGGCAAGCGCCATGGCGAGGGCGTTTTTGCCACTATGGCCAAGGCCACCCTCCGCGCCCTCGCCCACGTTGTCCGCGTCGCCAAGCGTGCCATTGTCCCGCACGCTCAGACCATCCTCACCTTTGTCGAGCTGCAGGTCGAGCCACACCCAATCGAGGCCTTTGAGGTTGTCCGTGCCCTCTTCTTTTGCCTTTACGCCGCCGCAGAGTATCTTGTCGTGCCGCCGCGGAGCTCGTCGCGCTCGCGATCCTCGCGCATGCTCTACCACACTCTCATGCTGGACCCGCTCAAGCGCCTGGCTTCATCCAAAAAGGCCCGCCGGAACCGTCTGCGTTTCCAGCGAACTGAGCTCCCGGCCGCCACCGTCGAGGCCGGCCTCATCTCACGCTTTGAGCCCGTCGTCCTCGCCGCCATCGACCGCTACGGCAAGACCTCGCTCGGCGAGGAGCAGCAGGCCATCCTTCTCCTCCTCTGCGAAATCGTCTCGGCCGGTGTCGACTACTCGCGCCTTGACGCCGAGCTCGCCGTTCTTCGCCTCGTGCTTGCCCAACTCGCATCTCTGGAGGCCTCGATCCGATCTCCACGCTTGGTTGTCGAGCCCATGCTCCACTTTCTCTGCACCCTCGTCTTTGACCGTGGCTACTCGTCGCCACTGCTCTCGATAGACAAGCTCATTGGCCTGGTTCAGACCATGCTTGTCTCGCTCGCCAACTCGCCCGGTCCGCTCCTTGTCTGCCTCACGCCGCTTGTCGATGCGCTCACCGGGCCTAAGGTCTCAGCTTCGCACCAGGCTGCCATGCTCGACGTTCTCACGCCGTACGCCCACTTTCCAGCCGCCATCCTTCTCATGGGCAAGCTCCTCTCAGCTCTCTACTCGTCGACTGCAAAGTGGGAGTCGATCTCGCGCAAACTGCTCGGCATCATCCTCCCGATGCTCACCCACTCGGAAATGCTATTTGCCTCGGGCAACAACCGCCCGCTTCTGCTTGACAACGGTCCTCCTGCACTTCGAGCCAATCTCTTCCCGGACTCGGACACCGGCTCTGAGGCCGGCTCGGACTCGCAGGCCACGCACCGCTCCGGCGACGCCTCGCACCTCATCTGGGAAGGCGCCGCCGCCCGTAACTGCTCCGAAGTCATCATGGTGGTCTCGGTCCTCTCCGAGCTTCTTGGCTCCATCTCGCTACGTGTCAGCGCCGGCGGCTCGACGCCGCTGGCTTCGCCGGTCAAGGGCGCGAGCACCGGTGACGCGTCGTCGGCGGGCTATCCGTCACCACGCAGCCTACCCGGGCCCGGCGCTCTGCCGTCCGACTGGGACTCGCTCGACACGTCCGTTTCCACCGGCTCGGATCTCATCTTCGCCGCTATCGGCTCCCCGGGTGGCTCGGCCACCACCCGCCGGCTGCACTCGATTCTGCGCGCCTTGGTCCTCCACGGCTCGGCCGTGGCCGGTGGAAGTGGGCTCGACGACGACGACGGCCTTCCGCAAGAAGCCTCTTACGGTTGCGTCATTGTCCTCGTCCAGCTGCTCAACCGATTTGCGCTTTCTCAGCTGAGTAGCGACGATGTCGGCCGCCTCGGCGCTGCGCTCATGGCCATTGCCGCCTCGGCCGTCGGCTTTTGCCAGCCGGGCATGCCGCGGCCGCAAGCCCAGCTTGTCGCCTGGCTGCTGACTGTGGTCACCTCGCTGGTCCTCTCGCACGATGGGCCGCGCAACTCGGCCCTTCGCGAGGCCATGGCCGCCGCTGCCGATCCTTTTGTCGACGCCGCAGCTGCACTGTGTGCTCACCTCCCACAGAGCCTCGGCCTCTCGCTTGTCTCGCCGCTAGTGGCCACGGGCCGGCTCACTCGCGGACTCGGCATCGTCGACTCGCCGCTCTGGTCGCTGGCCTGGCTTGAGCTAGCTGGCGCCTCGCTTGCCGTCCGTGTCGTCGCTCCCCCGCTCTTTCTCCTCTACACCGACACGCTGGTCGCCCGCAGCGATGATGTTGAGCCCGCCCTAGTCACCCGCGACCTCCTCGGCGCTGCACTGCGGCATGTCTCCGAGCCACCGGTCCGGGTTCTCCTCAACATCATCTCTTCCAAGGCATCGCTCAACGCAACAGTCCTCGCTGTCCTCGGTGAGCTGGTCGCCGAGCGCCCGGACTTGGTGGCCAGCGCCCGCTCTGCACATGCCGCCGTCGACCTGGTTGCTCAGCTCTCCGACTGTGCAGAGCGAATGGCGCTGCTGAATGCTCGCTGGCTCGCTGCCTCGCCCTACGTGCGGGTTCGTGATGAGGTTGAGCGCCTTGCCAAGAGCAATAGCAGCGATGGGTCTGCAAGCGCGAAGACGCCTCAGCATGCGCCCGAGCCGCCAGTTCCGACCTCACTTGACGACGTGGTCACAGCGGGTCTTGCCGGCGGTCAGCCACTGGTCCTCGATGCGTCGTGTGTGCACGTCGACATGGTGACGAACGCCTCGCTCCCATTCCTCCATGCGTACATCGACGTGGTGGCCGAAGCTGTGGGCTCAGTGCCCGGCGACGTGCTCGCCGCCGCCCACACCCGTGGCCTTGCTGGCATTGACGCGCCCGCAGCACTGCCCGACGTTGTCTTTCGTTATGTGCGCGCCGGCAACGCGCTTGCCGCTGCCGGCGCCGCCCGCTGGGGTGCTGAACTCGACATGGGCCTGGCGCTGAAGGCACTGCATGCGGTGGTGAGCGCGGACGGTGAGGCGTGGGGCGTTCACGTGCTCGACGCTTTTGTCGAGGGCTTTACCGGCCTCGTGGGCTTCGCCAACGATGCCGAGACCCGTGCGCGTGCGCTCGAGGTGGTGTGGCTTGTTCACTCGCGGGTGTACGGTGGGCAGGGCGCGAGCGCAGGTGACCAGCTTGCCGAGCTCTTTGGCTTTGTTTTTGCCGTCGGCGACGAGGGTGGCCAGCGGCGATGGCGGAGCGTAGCATGGTTTGGGCAGTCACGTGGCGGTGGCGCGTTTGCTGCCGAGTGGGCCCGACGGGTTGTTGTCCCACTGCTGAGGGTCTGGCTGCCAGCCGTGCTGGTGGCGTGGCTCGAGGCAAGTTCACGGAGCCCGTGTGGGCGGACGACCGAGGGTGTGCGGCAAAGCGGCCTCGCCCCGACGGTTCCAGGCCCAGCGCTGGACACGCTGGTGGCATCGTCAGCCGACACCGACGATCCAGCATGTAGCCTTGCTGCCCGTCTGGAGCGCGGGCTCGAAGTGCTCGAGGATCCCGCAACGGCCAAGGCGTTTGGCCGGATTGTGGCAGTGCTCGGCGTCGACGCACTGACTGCGCCGCTGGTTGTCGACGGGGTCATGCGGGTGGTGAGCCCACCCCCAGAGACTGCCCCGTACATCGAAGACGCAGCGCTCGAGGTCGGCGTCCAGACGCTCCGCGCACTGGAGCTTGAGCTGGCGCGCGGCGGAGCGCTTTCGACCCCGCCGCCGCCGTTTGCCACCGGGCCCCGGCACGTTCCGCGGTACGTGGAGGTCGAGTTTGGCAAGTCGCCTCATGGTAAGCAGCTTGTGGCGGGACTCACTGTCTGTGACGTGGCGCTCGGACTCGGCCATGTCCGCGGCTTCCAGGTCAACGTCGATCGGATCGGCCGCGACACCCGCGCGTTTGCATCTGGGCAAGTTGCGCTGCGCAAGCTCTCGCGGCGGGTCCACAAGGGAACCGACGCGCAGGCGCGTGGATCGCGGATGCAGCGAACCGCTCAGGCGCTAGTGAACCTCGCAGTGAGCGCCAAAGGCTCTGAGCGCGCGGCGCTGCGGCTCGAGGCTCTGGCGTCGCTGCTCGCGCTGGTCGACGTCGTGCCCAACGAGGAGCTGATGGCGGTGTGGTGGCGGCTTCTCTGCGAGCTGCATGGCGATAAGCGGTGCGAGGCTGACCCGCTTGTCCGCGGCATGCTGCTGCAGGGCGTGCTCAAAGTGGCGCTGCTGGTCAACGGCGGCCTCTCGCTGTTGGGTCGGGTGCTGGAGGAGGGACTTGAGACCTTGCAAGGGAGCACTCAGTCGGGCTTTGTCTTTGGACTCATCCACTTGCTTGAGGCCAAGATTTCCGGCGTGCTCGCACCTTATGTAGGTGCGCTCTGCGAGTTTGCGCTTGGCGCTGTCCGCCGGACGCGGTATGGGCGGGCCAAGCTTGGCGCGGTTGCGCTGGTCGGCATGCTACTGGCCAAGTTCCCGGCCGAGGCCGAGTCGCTCGGTTTTGTCACCCGCGCGCTGGACGTGCTCATCACAACGGCACGCAACAAGCGCGAGCTGCGAAGTGTGCGCATCGGTGTGGCCAAAACGCTGCAGACCGTGTTGGCGTCGTCTGCGGTACCACTGCGGGTCCTCGAGGCCGTTCAATTCCAGTGGACGTGGGGGTATGGCAATGTTGCGTACTGCGCCGCGTACGAGGCGGTGTGTGAGTGTGGGCTTGGGCTTGCCGCACTCTACACCGAGGCGCTGCGGCGGGCACTGGCGCGCGGCGTGCCACGTGGAGGATCGATTTCGGCGCTCGCCGCCAGCGTGCCGTCGAGTCGGGCACTCGTGGGAGCTGGCCGCAGCGGAAGCTCGGTGTACGACTACGATCACGACGAAGATGAGGATGGGAGCGCGGACGAGACAGCGCGGGTCATCGACGCTTTGTACGAGCGGGCTGTGCTGTTGATTGGGCGAGTCCGGTGCGGGGCGTTTTTGCGCGAGCGCCGGGTCCTTGTTGCCACCATTCCGCTGCTCCTGGCTGACTTTCTGCCGCCGGACCGAGCGCTGACGCTTGTGCTCGGCCAGCTGCTCTCGGCGCGGACTGATGCCGGTGGATGCGAAGACGTGGCGCAGATACTGTTCCGCACGATGGAGCTTCTCCGAAGCGGCCGCAACGGTGAAGCCTATGTCCGCAAGTGGGCGTACATGGCGCTGCATTCGTTCGTGCAGGTTGCGCCGGCGTGGGTTGGCATCTGGCTTGCCGCGGTGGTGCTGGTGGCATCGGCGCCGTCGCGTGAGGTGCTCCGCTTTGGTCGCGCCCATTTGCTTGGCGGCCGGCGTGAGCACGGGCCGTCGGCCTCGACGCAGGCACTGTTTGCGCTTGCGTTCCAGGCTCACGTTGACGCTGGTGGCGCTGAGACGTTGGCAGCGGTCTGGGCCGACTCGGCAATGGTCCAGGCCATTGTGCCTGAGCCTCGGGCTGGCGGCGTGTGACGAGCGCAGGGGTTTTTTACACATGTGGATGGCGCCAGGTCGAGCGGTGCGCCTGGGATTAACAAGGCTGCTCTGCTCGGTTCGCAAAGCGTGGCCTGTGGCTGCTGCTTTGCGACTGTGATGTATGTGTGTCTGTGTGGGAGTGTGGGCCTGCAAGAACGCGGCTGCGGGTGGAAACCAAAAACCCAGTAGTCGTGAGCACGACTAAGCGCCGAGCGCGGAGGAGGCGCGCGGGAACGCGAGAACGCCATTAGATATGGCGAGCCGAGGCACGAGCGAGGAGGGTGTGGACAAGCGAGCACGGAGGGAGGGACCAGGGAGAGGTGTTGGTAACGGCGGTAGTGATGCGCGCGCCGGTGAGTGGGTTGTCATGTGAGAAAGAGCGGAGGCCGTAGTAGGCGGCGATGCCGTGGAAGAGGCGGCGGTGGAACGACGACTCGATGGCGATGGAGATGGTCGGCTCCGGGTCGGACGACGCATCGAGCTCGTCAAGGAGCAGCGTCTCCAGGGCCTGGACAGTGACCAGCGAAAGCGCGCCCGACCTAAACATCGGACGGACTGCCGCCGGGATGCGCAGGTAGCACTGCTCCGGCGTCAGCTCGGCGGCGACAAGCTCGACCTCAGACTCGACCGAGAACGAGGCCAGCGGGCACGGCGCCTCGTCGCGGATAGGCCCCCACTCAATGTCCGAAGCTGTGGCGTCTGCATCGAGCCCCGCATCGTCGACATCGCTCAGCTCGAGCTCGAGCTCGAACTCGAGGTCGCAATCTGTGCGAGCGAGGAATGAGTCCAGGACATCCAGATCGGCGAGCATGGCATGGAAGGGAGACTCTGTCCGCGTCGGGAGCACCTCATACAAGCTCGACTCGGGAACAGGCTCGGCAAAGGAGAACGGAGTCTCAAACGGCGAGCCCGGTGAGAGGGTGTTGCGGGCGTGCCACCGGCGGCGTTTGCCCGAACCGGGCGGCCGGGAGCCAACCGCGAGGCGATCGAGTCACGCGGAGCCCCTACCAGAGCGACAAGCGGATGAGTGGGAGTGAGTGGACATTGCCTCCTTCCCCTCCTCCTCCTCCTCCTCCTGGTCACCTCCTCCCTGTTGTTCCTCCCCATTCCCGCACCGTACACTGAATGCGGGCCTGCCGCGTCGGGGTAGCGGTAGCCACTTCAACCGAAACGGACATATCCGCCTGGGAGGGAGGGGGGGGGGGATGTAGGAGGGGAGGTGGGGGGAGCTTCCGGAAGGGGAAGGTGGATACGTCGGCGCAGGGGCTCGAGGAGTTGCCTAGCGGCGGGACGGGAGACGAGAGCGGTTGCGATCGGTGTTGTGCTTGGCCTGCTTCTGCTGGATGCGGGTGGTGCGGGTTGGGGAGGGCCGGGTTTTGGCGCGAGTCTTCGCGCACTTCGATTGGGTTCGGCAAGTCACACGACGGCTCGAGTGGGCATACGATTAATTCATGCAGAGACTATCGTTGGACACGGTCTCGGCTCAATCTCGATGTAGAATGCAGCAAAGAGAAGGTGAAAAAGCAAAAGTGGGAGGCTGCAGCAGGTGGACCGCAGAAAGCAGCCAAGCGTGTTCATGGAGGGTGGATGGGGGTCTCCAGGGGACGGTTCTTCCAATGCTCTTCTGCTGCCGAAGAGGGCTTCCATTCGGCTCGCCGCGGGCAGCCGGGACAAAACCACCGGCGCGGAGCGCGATTTGGCGAACGGGGAGCTGAGCAACACCCAAATAGCAAGACAATGTGGAATCGCAGCGTGAACGGACGCCCGGCCGGCAAGGTCCGGCGATCGGAGGACAAGGGCAAGTGTGTGCGGAACCGGACGGTGCGCAAGCGTGCCGAGGCAGCAGCGAGGGCCGACGCCGGTGTCGGCTCGTTTGACCCGGTGGCGTACCGGCTGGCAGACAAGAAGGGCTTTGAGGCCAAGCAGGCCGAGATCAAGGCACGGAAGGAGGCCAAGGCCAGCACGCAGCGTGCGCGTCGCGCCGGTGCACGATCGGCCAAGAAGAACAATCGTAAGGCCCGCGCGGCCTTTGACGCCGTCTACGGCCCGCTGGCCGACTCTGGGTGAATTGGCCGAAATGACGAAAGTCGCCACGTCCACTCCTGGCATCGTCACTGACACCCTTAGCGGTGCGGTCGTTCGGACGCGTTGTCGCGCGTCTCCAGGTGAACAACTCGATGACGCTTGACTTCCAGCTCACCGGCCGGCGCTGCACGACACCTGCTGGGCCTATGGCTTGAGGTGGGAGGCGCGCCCGCACGTGATGGCGGCCGACACGTAGACGCCCGCATGAAGGATGCCCGACCTGGGAGCATGGGCGAGGCGCGCGAGGTGCCGTACGACGCTGATCCGGAGGACAGGCGTCCGCGGACGGTGCGGAGCTTGTCGTTGACGATCCCGACGACCGGGAAGTTAAACATCACAGAGTTGAACACAGCGGCCGGACGGAAGAGCGCGTGGATCTTCTTGCGACGGATGAGCTTGCCGGTCGGCGTGGCCGCCGCCGACACGAGGAGCGAGGCCGGCGACCGCCTTGCTCGTGCCCCACTCGGGGAGCTTGGTCGAGAGCTTGGGGTCACCCTTGGCGATGAACGAGGCGACGATGTCGGCAATCGACACCCTCCCCTGGCCCTTGAGGCGGTCGCTGGGCTTGGGCTCGTAATCGCCGGCGACAACGACCAGGCAGCTGGCCAGCGAGACGCGTGCGAGCTCGCGGTGGAGCTTCTTCTCGGCAAACTCGGGCTCCGTCGAGCCCTTCTGCTGCTGGTACTTGGAGTTGAGCGCCACCCGCTCGGCGCGCGCGTCGGCGACAAGCGCCGTGCGCACGCCCGGGAGCGACGCCATGCCGCCGCGCGCCGGGTACGCGTTGACTCTGAGCGCCGTGAGGACCTTGTCGAGGACGAGCATGTCGCGCGACGCAAACGCGCCGGCGAGCGCCGTCGCGGAGCGCGGCTTGCGCGACGGACTAATTTGTCTATTCCGTACCGCAAAGGGATAAACGCGTCGTCATTATCCTCAGCTGTAGTTGTGATGTCTGCGGTGCGCCACGAGGTAGGTGCTGGGTGCTGGGAGGCTGACTTGGCGCTCGGCACTCATCTCGCCACCACGCCTCCGACATCATGTTCCGCCGCGTATGGTACCATGTGTTGCCGGCTGGTGTGCGTGCTGCTGGCGGACGGGCGGGTGGACGGGCGGGTGGTCGGGCGGGTGGTCGGGCCGGTGGACGGGCGGGTGGAAGGCAGAGCCGGCGTGGGGCGGGCGAGTCATCGGGAAGGCGGGCAGGGGCCGGAGGGATTGGAGGGAGCCGGGCGACGGGGCGTCGGGGCAGATCAGGCTGGGGCGGCGGGCGCAGCGAGCACAGGTCGAGCAACGACGGCCTCGATGCGCTGTACGGGTGGCACTCGGTGTCGGGGGCGCTGGCGGCGCGACGGCGTGATCTGAGCCGCGCCAGGCTCTTGGTGCGCGACGGAACGAGTAATGCAGAACAGGCGGTGAAGGCAGCAGCGTCGGCGGGTGTGCCTGTCGAGTCGGTCGGCGCAGGCGCGCTGGAGCGGGCGGCTGGCCCGGACGCGGTCCATCAAGGCGTGGTGCTCCTCGCCGGGCAACTGCCGCTAATCGATGTCTCGCCCGAGGCCCGTGGCGAGCTTGTCCACTTGGCCTCTGCACTGCAAGCGCATGCCAGCGGGCCCGTGGCCGCACTCGCACTTGATCGGGTTGTCGACCCGCACAATGTCGGCTCGCTCGTCCGCACTGCGGCCTTTCTCGGCGTCTCGGTCCTCCTGCTTCCAGACAAGGAGACTGCACCGCTCTCACCGGTGGTATCGCACGTCTCAACCGGGGCACTCGAGTCGATGGCAGTCTTCCGTCTCTCGGCCTTTGTGCGGACGCTGACGGTGCTACAGTCCGATCACAGCGCCGAGCTGGTTGTCTCGACGCTGGCGGACGACTCGGTCGACGTCGCCACTCATCACGCCGCCCCAGGCTCGATTCTGGTCCTTGGCTCTGAAGCCAAAGGCGTGCGGGCGCCGCTTGCCTCTGCCGCCGCCGCTCGCGTCCGCATCGTGCCACAGCCGGGCGCCCACGGCACCCATGTCCAGTCGCTCAATGTCGGCGTTGCCGGCGGTATCCTCCTTCACACTCTCCAAAGTCTGTAGCCACGAGCCATGGCGATGGATGATGATGCAGGGGAGGAGGAGAGGAGGAGGAGGAGCGAGGATGGAAATAATATGAGCTCTGCCTTTGCACAAACGTACCTCTGCACGTGTTGCAGAGGGGGTGAGCCGCCACGTGTTGTGCGGGTCAGAGAAAATTGGATGCCACTGGCACGTGGCTGAACTGGCAAACATGCGAGATTTGGGGCATAGGGGGGG